ACAGGAGGGGAACGAGGTGGGAAAAGAGTTGGAGACGAGTCGGGTGGAGGAAACACAGGACCATGGACAGGAAGGCGAGGAGGCGACGGGGGAGGCACAGGCGAGCGCTCATGAGAGGAAAGGCCGAGCAGCGAAGGGCAGACACCAGCGGCGCCTACTGCTGCTGCTACTCCGCGCCGACACCTGGACCGCCTGCTGCACCACAGCTACCTCCGAAACACTCCACTCTAGCACCCCCAGAGCAAAAACCCTCTCCAGCACCGGTGCCACCCCCGAGCCCGCCGGGACAAGCAACGACAGGAACCCCAGGACTAGCCCCCTCCTCAACTCTAGCACCCCCAGAGGCCACGAACGGCTGCTGCTGCTGCGATGGCGGCGGCGGCGGTTGCGGCGGCGGTGGCGGCTGCTGCGGCGGTGGTGGCAGCGTCTGCTGTGGCGACGGAGAAGGAGACACCCACGAAGAGACGGGCGGCAAGAACTGTGCCGCAGGGCCATCAGAGTCAGCCGACTCCTTGACTGGGACAACCGACGTGAGGGGAGTGACGTGAGACACACTAGACGGAGCAGGACGGGGAGGAAGGTGAGCAGGGGCTACAAGGGGAGTGGGGACCAGAAACAGGGGAGGGGAAGGAGACGTCGGTGGGGAAAGCGGTGGTAAAATGAGACATACGCATCGAAATTGGCGTCACGAGAGTGAAAGATGCGGTGAGACGTCGGGGGGTAAAAGTGCCTGTCAGAGGAGTCCAAGGGGAAACCGAGGAAGACACAGGGGACAGTGTGGTCAGTGAGCTTTTCCGTGCTAGAGGCACGAACGTGAGCAAGGCAGCCCCAGACGTGGAACGCGGACGCGTCACCAGGGATCCCGGCCCAAAGAAGGGTCGGCAAAAACTGCGGCCGCTGGGAGTGCGGCCAGAGGTTAAGCTGGTGAGCGGTGTAGCGAACGGCAAATGGCCACAGAAAAAGGGGTGCACTGGCATGAATCATGGAGGTACGAGCCAGCTCCATGACCAAACTGATGCATCGCTAAGCGACCCCATTCTACTAGGGGAAGTCCGGTAGGGTGTACGACTGGGTGATGCCCTCTGCACGACTGAACTTTCCAAGCCGACCAGAGGCGAACTCGCCGCCACGGTCAGAGTGGAGATACAGCACAGGGAGACCGCGATGGAGGCATGCATCTACGACCCACGGGATAAGAACATCAGGCACGTCAGCCTTTCGCTCAAAGGGAAACACCGTGGTGTAGGGCATATAGTCGTCAACGAGCACGAGAAAGTAGCGCTTGCGACGCGGTCCAAGGACGGGGGCTGGGCCCCAGACGTCCAGGTGCAGGGTCTCGAGGGGCGCGGTGGCAGGACAAAGCGAGGAGGAGTGAGGAGCACGGCGGAGCTGGCCCTCAACGCAGGGCGTGCACGGCGGCGCAGGCGAGGGAGGGAGGGCAGGAAGTGACGTAGGGAGACCTAGGAGAAGACCGTGCTGGGACATGTGACGCACGCTGGTGCGCAGGGTGACCTAGTGAGTGGTGCCACAGAAGCGACGGGTGAGTGAGCGACCGATACGCGCACGCAGCAGCAACCTGTGTCGACGCAGGACCCGAGGAGGACGCGCCCACCGGTGGGGGAGCAGTGTCTAGCGTAAAGAGGCAAGACACCGTGTCCCGGGGGAAGGTTGCAAGGGGGGAACCTGAGGCGACCTCTGTACAGACGGCGTACCGCTCGTGACCCGGGAATGTAGTGGTGACGCCGAGGTCCTGAAGACATCCGACACTGGCAAAGTTCCGGGAGAACGAGGGGATGTGCAGGCCTGTAAGGGAACTCGAGGGGACCGCTGGACAGGGAAGGGTAGTGGAGCTGCCGGCAACTACAGGACCAAAAGAGGGGTCAGCATGTGCGACAGCGGCAGGCGCGGCAACCGGCGTAATCGCAGCGTGGTCGGGAAAGAAGCAGGCATATGCACAGTAGTCAAGTGTGAAGGACAGCAAAGCAGAAGCGGCAGACGAAGAAGGAGCAAGTGTGGAGCCTAGACTAGACAAGGCAAATGGTCCTACGCTTGACACAGCAAAGGTCTTTGGACTATACACAGGTGCTACACCTAAGCTAGAGAATACACGGTAATAATATCCGGACACACTAGAAGCATAAAGATACAGGGAGTATAAGGTAGAACTAATCTGATCCATGTCTATGTCAAAAACAGGCACACCGTGGCGCAGCAGACAGGGCCAATCAGGGAGGTCTGGGGCCGGGCCGAAGCGGCAACGAAAGTGGTTGTTGAGGCGGCGAAAGCAGCGGGCGGTCGGGTGCGGACGGCGACACACAGTGCCACGAAGGGGCCCGGTCTGGAGCTGGTACAGGCAGCCCATAGTACTGAAGCCGCCGGTAGACGCCGAGCTGCGAGGACTGCCAGGGCAGCCACCCCCTTCTGAGGCTCCCGGCCACCCCGGTGGGAGGCCAGCCTACAACGGTTGCTGCGGCTGCGGCTACGGCTGCTGCTGCTGCTGCTGCAGCGATGACTTCTGCGACTGCTGCATCTTCTGGACGCCTGCTCCAGCCCCCTCGTCAGAACCACTGTTGCCGCCACCACCACCACGCGCTTTCTTAGGGCCACGACGACCCCGACGCTGTCGCTGCTGCTGCGGAAAGGCCGCCGTTGCGGTCTCAGCGACAGGTTCAGCAATAGCGACAGCATCGGAAACATCAGCGTATGTGCACTGGGAGGGAGCACAGCCGTGAAAGATAGGGTCTGCCGCAACACCGCTCGATTGAGCGATAGTGCGCTAGCGAGTCTCTATCCAAGAAAGGGCAGCGGCAAAAGCGGTCAGGGTGAGGTCACGAGGGAGCTAGCTAAGGAAGTGTTTGCGGACAGTGGCTAAGCGGTCAGGTAGGTGCATGGCAATAAGATACAGGGTAGCGCAGAACGGCGGGGGGAAGGCAATGAGCTGGGCAGTGGTGCTAGCAGCGCGATAGCTAGTCTTTTGTGCATGAAGGTGAGTAACAAGATCAGCGACAGTGGCCAAAGCAGAGAGACTAGGGAAGAGCATGGGGAGGATCAAGCGTCCAGCTGCGGCAGAGGCGGGCGTAGAATAGCAGGCAACTACTCCATTTATGAAGTATTTGGCGTTTGCTACAGCAGTGAAGCGGGGACGCTCATAGAGGGGAAGCACATGACTAATGGCAAGCTGCACTACAGTATCGCAAGAATCCCATACAACGCGAGCGAGCGCAGCAGCAGCAAAGGCCTCACTCTCAACAGTGGTGGGGTCAGCAGGAAGCGGATCTGGCGCGGTAGGGCGGGGAAGCAAGCCATCAACATGCATAGCCATGGAGTGCCCATCCTGGCGCTGACCTGTCAGGTGCCGGCAAAGATCGACAAGCCAGGCGGTGAAGTCAATCGCGTTCCCTTCCACGTCCAGACGTAGCACGGCGTCCGCCATCGCGAAACTGCGGCGGCACCGCGATACAGCGGCACAGTTACACAGCGGCTCTACGGTAGAGGGACACAGGGACTCAGCTGCACGGCGGTACAGCGACTTGGCAGAGCAGGAACATGGCGCGCGAGGAGACGGAGGGCGGGAAAGGAGGGCCAAGGCGCATGTGGGGCCGGACAGGCGGTAGGGGCCGGCTAGGCACAAGGGGCCGGCTAGGGTGCAAGGGGCCGGCTAGGGCGCGAGGGGGGGGCAGCTGGGCGCGCGGGGCCGACTAGGTCGCGAAGGGGCGATTAGGGCGCGAGGGGCCGACTAGGGCACGAGGGGCCAGCTGGGCGCGCGGGGCCGACTAGGGCGCGAGGGGCTGACTAGGGCACGAGGGGCCGGCTGAGCGCCCGGGGCCGACTAGGGAGCAAGGGGTCGACTAGGGCGCGAGTAGGCGAAGAGGGCGCGAGGGGCCGGCTGGGGCGCGACGGCGCGAGGAGCCGGCTAGGGACGGGGGGCGAGAGGCTAACGACGGCGCGAGGGGCCAGCTAGGTGTGAGGGGTCAGCGGGGCGGGCGGGTCCGGCTGGGCGCGTAGAGGCCGACTAGGGTGCGAGGGGCCGGCTGGGGCGCGAAGGGGTCGACGAGGGCGTGAGGGGGCGGCTGGGCGCGAGGGGCCGACTAGGGCTCGAGGGACCGACTAGGGTACGAGGGGTCGGCGACGGCGCGAGGAGCCGGCTAGGCACGAGGGGCGAGCGGCGGCGCGAGGGGCCAGCTAGGTGCAAAGGAGCTATGGCGCAGGGCGGAAGCGGGTGGGGGACCTAACCTACTCATGATACCATGTTAGAATACTGGAATGAATAGAAACAAGGGAGAACAAGCAAGGTATAGAATTGGAGTTGTACTATCTAAGAACATACACCTATCTAGTCTATAACTTCTACATACTGACATATGTATAAGTTGACAAATAGTGCCACCCTCAGCTGCATGCTACTTGCTCAGCACTACCCCTTATCTAGCATAGGGGGTGTGCCAACTTATACATATATTTGCATGTATAAGTTATAGGCTAGATAGGTGTGAGTTCTTAGAAGGTACAACTCCAACCCTATATCTCCCTTGTTCTTTCTTGTTTCTAGTCATTCTTGTATTCTAACACCTTCTACGAACCTGTTCGATCACACAGCTATATTTTGCTTCGTCATTCCAATGTACCACATTCTATTATTCTGAACCTAAGACATTAGATTCCGCTCTACTGAGGTGAAACACTCATAACAATATAAAAGCCTACTTGATCGGTGAATTACGATGAATGGCGAAAAGTTGTCGTCAGGCTGAAGCTGATCACTTCCTTCCAGGCCATTCGCGGAACTCAGTTCAAAATCAAATTTTTGAATTCTTCACCAGGGGTTCAAGCGAGTTCTGTCGAGCCTCGCGAGCAGTTGGTAACTAACATTCGCGATACATGTTGGACATCTTCGTGGGCGCTTTAGCTTTCGCGATCGCCGTACCAATCAAGAGCAAGGAGGAACAAACTTCCCCTCCCGCCACTACAAGGGGTCTGTCCATGTCCTTATTCTTGTCAGTCCTTGGATTCAAGCCGTCATTTTCGAGCATACCGTACTGCCTCGCCTTGCCCCTAGTCACCAGCGCTGCAAGATTAGCTTATCATTTACGCGATCGAACGATTCTGGGCTCCAGATCTTCATAAGTGGAAACCGCAACCACGCCTGCTCGTTCGCGCTTTTAAGCTTCTTCGACAAAAAGGCGATTTTTCAGCAAAGTTGATCAGCCTTCCCATTAGCCATGTATGGAGGAGGTGATTTTGGTGGAGGTGACTTTGGCGGGGGTTCTGCCAGTCAATTCGGTGGTGGCGGATTTATGCCTACCACCCCGGGACCACCGGGAGGAGCAGGAGGAGCAGCTGGGGTTTACTCTCCTAACGCGGGTGGACGAGTGAGTGTCACATTCTCTGGATCAATCGCAGTATCAATCGCTCAATCGCAGTATCAATCGCTCAATCGCAGTATCAATTGTAGTATCCTTGCCGCTAAACGGTCACCTACACTCATTGACGTCCCCCCGCTGCAGCACACTGACTTCGTTCGCCTCTTATAATGTTGCTTTTCCGTTGTTTTGTTTTCTCGCCTTTTTTGTTATCCTTTTCTCTCTTGTCCGTTGTTCCGTCCATCGACTTTCCCGTTTCTTGTCCTTTACGTGGGTGTTTATGCCATGCCATGCGGTTCCGGGCCCTGACCATGCCATGCGGTTCCGGTTCCATGCCATGCAGAGAGCGAACAACAACAGTACATTATTCGCCATGACCGTGCGCGAAATCGCTAACGCCATCGCGCGCGATGCCACAGAGAACTCTCTCTTCATCAACGGCCACGATGCCTCCAACGTGCGTATCAACGGCTGCGATTAGTCCGGCGAGTCACACCACCAATTGTCGACCGTATTCCCTGTACAAAGCAATATGCTTTTGTAAATTTAGGTTTGTTTTGAAGGTCTCCTGGATGCAGTATACTGACGCATGCTCCTTCGACTGGTCTCGTGGCAGAAACCGTTAGCGCTTATCTGACGCGTGCCGGGCTCCGCTCTGTTCGTCCATGTCTCCGTGTGACTGTGCGCGTGTGACTGTTCGCGTGTGACTGTTCACGTGTGCCAGATGGTGCTTGTGGGGAAGGTGGTGAGGCGCGACGACCACGAGCTGGACGTGTCGATTGTCCTGGACGACGGCACGGGCAAGATCGAAGTGCGCCGATGGTGCGAAAGAGGGGGGGGGGGGGGGGGGGTGGGTCGTGGGTGATGTGAGGGAGGGGAGGGAGTGGGGGTTTGAGAGAGGGTGCTTGTAGGGAAGGTGGTTCTTGTAGGATCGGGGGAATTGTGTCGCTCGTTCCAGACGACAGCATGGGTAAGACCAAAGTGTGCTAATGGTGCGAAAGGGGAAGCGGAGGGGGGGGGGGGAAGAGGGGGAAGGGGGAGGTGGGGGGGTGAGGGTTGGGGGATGATTGGGGAAGGGGTCTTAGAGGAAGGAAGGATGGGGGGCAGTGGGTGATGTGATGGAGGGGATGAGGGTTGAAAGAGGGTGCTTGCTTGTAGGATGGGTATAGTGTTGATTCTGCTGGACAACAGCAGCACGGGCAGGATTGAATTGAAGTGCGCTTATGGTGGGAGGGCGGGGTTGGGGGGGAGGAAAGGGGAGCGAGGAGGAAAGAGGAAGTTGAGAAGAAAATGTGTGTACTGTATGTGTGTGCGTGCGTGCGTGCTTGTGCGTGTGTGTGCGTGCGTGCATGTGTGTGTGTGTGTGTGTGCGTGGGTGTGTGTGTGTGTGTGTGTGTGTGTGAGTGTGTGTGTTGAGGGGTTTGGAAAGGGCTTGGCCGGGAGAGTATCTGTACGAATGTTTCAAGCTACACCTCTGCAATATGCCATGGTGCACACCTTTCCTTCGCCTTTCTTTTGTTTTTTTCCTTTCGTTCTCTGCCCTACCGCTCCAGGTTCGAGCCCGACACCAACGAGCTCGCCACTCTGGATTCTGTGCGGTAAGACTGTGTGCACGTAGTAATCACTCGCAGTTTTCAGACGTCTCAAAACTACACTTGTATCACATCAACGAGCTCGCCACTCTGGATTCTGTGCGGTAAGACTGTGTGCACGTAGTAATCACTCGCAGTTTTCAGACGTCTCAAAACTACACTTGTATCACATCAACGAGCTCGCCACTCTGGATTCTGTGCGGTAAGACTGCGTGCACGTAGTAATCACTCGCAGTTTTCAGACGTCTCAAAACTACACTTGTATCACATCAACGAGCTCGCCACTCTGGATTCTGTGTGGTAAGACTGCGTGCACGTAGTAATCACTTGCACGGGACAACACTCATCGTTCCCCTTCAGTGTGCTGGCTAAAGCTGTACAAACATCCTGCTCTTTAGATGTGTAACTTTATTTGTGCCCTGGGATTCGCCATATAACCAGACTGTTTTTATTTGTTTTGTTCTGGTATGATCTGCTCCCTTTCTCCTATGCTGTGTTCCCTGTCTTGCTCTCCCACCAATTACAGCCCTGGAGTGTATGTGCGAGCGCATGGGCACGTGCGGCTGCAGAACAACAAGCGCTTTGTCGTTGCCCAAGTCATCAGGTGCGATGCGCCCTTGAGTTCGAGAGTTATGACCAGGCGTGCTTCTTGGAACAATGGGATGCGTGGCCCCTTGCGGCTGCAGAGCAACAGCAAGCGATACGTCATCGCCCATGTTATCGGGTGCTTTGTCATGGCACGGCACGCTGTGTTCCAGAGTGCCATCTTTGTGTTCCTGAACACACGCAAGGCTCAAGAGTTCAAACTCCTTGTGAGATTTTTTTTTTTGGCCCCCCCACAGGCCTGTCACAGACTTTAACGAGGTGACTTTCCACTTCCTGGACGCCATATTTGTGTACCTGCACACACGCAAGTCTCAGGTGCGCAGGGCATAGGTGCGCTGGGCATAGGTGCGCAGGGCATAGGTGCGCTGGGCATAGGTGAGCTGGGCATAGGTGGGCAGGGCGTAGGTGGGCAGGGCGTAGGTGGGCAGGGCGTAGGTGGGCAGGGCATGGGTGTGCAGGGCATAGGTGCGCACGTCTGCTTTTTTAGTAAACGTAAAAGTCCCATTGTAGTGTACCATACACACACGCAAGACCCAGGTGCGCAAGACTCAGGTGCGTGGAAGGGGTTGGGTGGGTTGTGGCGCCTTGTAACACGCCACAGCCTGCCAGGAGAGGGGTTTGTAAGTTGGTATGGGGGGGGATTGTAAGTCCGTATGGAGTCGGTATGGGGGGGGGGGGGGGAGATTGTAAGTTGGTATAGCGGTGGGTTGTAAGTCGGTAGGAGGGGGGGTTTTGTAAGTCGGTACAAGGGGGGGGGGTTGTAAGTTGGCATGGGGGGGTTTGTAAATCGGTATAGGGGGGGGTTGTAAGCTGGTTTTGGGGGGGGGGGGTTGGTTGTAAGCCGGTATGAGGGGGGTTGTATGTCGGTACAGGGGAGTTCGGGTTGTAGCTTCTAACCAGAGCTCCCCACAGTGCACCATGGGCGATTGGTCTGAGCTTGAGGCACGGATGCCCGTCTTTGTACTTGGACTTCGGTTCTGGACTGGGGATTTGATTGTTGGGGTTTGATGCCTGGACTGTCATGCCATCCCTGTTCCTCGCCTCCTCTCTCCTTCTCTCCAACTCTCTCTCTCTCTCTCTCTCTCTCTCTCTCTCTCTCTCTCTCTCTCTCTCTCTCTCTCTCTCTCTCTCTCTCTCTCTCTCTCTCCCCCCCCCCCCTCCTTGATCTCTCTATTTCTCACTCTCTCTTGCCGGTTCCAGGGAGGAGCGACGGACGGCACTGAGGCTTCACCCCACCAGCCCCCACAGCAGCAGCAGCAGCAACCTGCCTACAACCAGGTGGGGATTTACTGCTGGCACCCCTGCTGTTTGCATGCCTGCTGCTAGCATGCCTGCTGCTAGCACGCCTGCTGCTAGCATGCCTGCTGCTAGCACGCCTGCTGCTAGCATGCCTGCTGCTAGCATGCCTGCTGTTAGCACGCCTGCTGTTAGCACGCCTGCTGTTAGCACGCCTGATGTTAGCACGCCTGCTGTTAGCACGCCTGCTGCTAGCATGCCTGCTGCTAGCCCGCCTGCTGCTAGCACGCCTGCTGCTAGCACGCCTGCTGTTAGCACGCCTGCCGCTGACAGTTGCTGCCACTGCTGCCCCTGTTGCTGTAGGTGCAACTGCTGCTGTCACTCAAGTTGCCATGGCCACTCTTGCTCCTCTTCTCTCCCTTCATTCCCTCTTTCCTCTCTCTCCCCTCCCCTCCCTCCAACCCCCTGGTGCAGTACGTGCCGCCGCCAGCGCCAGCAGCACCAGCAGGAGCAGCAGGAGCAGCAGCAGGTGGAGGGGGCGGAGGGGCAGGGGGAGGGCGGCTGGAGTTGCGCGACAGAATCATGCAGTTCTATGAGAGCCCGCAGAATGCGTGAGTGCGACATGGGGTGTGTTGAGTGTGGTGTGTTGAGTGACTTTTGAGTCGATTCAAGAATCATGCAGTTCTACAAGAGCCAGCAGAATGCGTGAGTGCGACAAGTGGGAGTTGTAAGCTAGGCTGTGCTAGGTTTGTGAGAATTCTAAAAAACGTGACTGAATCATGCAGTTCTATGAGAGCCCTCAGAATGCATAAGTGCGACATGTGGTGTGCTGGCTGTGGTGCGTTGGGTTGTGGTGTGTTGGGGTGACGTGCTGCGTGTGGTGTGTTGGTATGTGGTGTGTGGTGTGTGGTGTGTTGACTAGGTAATGCTGATAGTGGTTTTGATGGTGCGGCTAATGTGCTGCTGATGATGATTGTATTTTGTTATCGCTTTTGGGAAGTAACCGTGTTCCCAACTCCTCTGCAGGGCCATACAACAAGGCATCAACCATCAGCAGGTGGCTCAAAGCATGCCAGATGTATCGCCCCAGGAGATCCGGTAAGTCTTGTCTTTGTTTTATCTCACATGTGTTGGTCTACTCTTTAGCTTTGTGCTTGTGGTGCTCACTCCTCGTGTGTGTCCTTGCTTCTCTAAGGCGTCTAATTCTTGCTTTTGATTTCATTTTTTGTTACAGGAGTACCGTTGATCATTTGGTCATGGAGGGGCTTCTCTATTCCACGATTGATGAAGACCACTACCGATCCACTAATGTGTAGAGATACACGTTATGATGCAACTTCAACAATACCCACACCTTGCTTACATGTTGCTTGATTGTATCTGACGTAGAAAGTAGTGTATTTCCGTTTGGATGTGTTGTGTTTCTATAATGTCTTCGCATTTTGTGATGAAATGAAGCGCTTAGGTTCACCATCAAAATCCTTGCTAAAGAAGTGCCATGAGATCGGTGCCATGTGCAGTAGCTGGAAACTCGTACCCAGCAGCACCGAGTCACACACCTTCAACCCTCTCACCCACACCTCCACCACCTCCCCCCGCATCCTTCTCATCCCTCCTCTCACCCTTCTCACACCATCACACCACCATTTTCCTTCCCCGTCGTCCCGTTCACTCCACAGCGCAGCAGCACGGCGTGGCCAACTGATCGTTCGTTCCCGCATCGGATCTGGCCAGGAGTCGGACACGTGTAATACACTTGCAGTTTATCTGTTCGCCGTCCCTCCCGCTCTTATCTAGCATTCCTCTCTGAAATCCGGTTGAGGTGTTTTTAGAAACAACCGTCCGTGCCGCCTCCCATCGCCGTCTGCTTGCGCCTTCCGCTTTCCGGCTTCCGCGTTTTGCCTTCCGCCTTCCGCCTTTTGCCGTCCGCCTTCCGCTTTCCGCCTTCCGCCGTGTGCGCGTGCCCGGCACCGCCTGTCGCCATGACGGCTTGCTTACTGCGAGCGCTCGGCGCTTCGAGTACGAACTTCGTAGCGGGATGTAACAGGTATAGCGACGCCGCTTCGCAGGTGCCACTTATAGCGGTCTAGGTCTAGAATCCCAAGTGCTGAGCGCGATTCGCACTTTTAAATACTCCCGTCCCCTCTCACTCCCTTTCTCCTCCTCTCGGGGCCGCTGGCTTTGGGATCAAGCTGTCTCGCCTTTTCTGCAGCACACAATAGCTTATCTTAGCGCACGTTTAGCGTTTTTCCGGAACATTCACCTATCGCTGCCTGCCACGTGCAATCCTCGTGCCTGCCACGTGTATTCCACGTGCATGGCTGTCATTCCCGTCATCCCCGCTTTCCCTTCGTCTCCTCCGTCTCTCAGGCTCGCGCTCGCTTCGTCCACGTCATCTCGGCCTCTGCTGACGCTGCGCCGATCTGGCCAGCGCGCTTTCCACGTCAGCGC